TCGACCATCAACGTGAGCCTGATTACATTTTTAAATAAAATTGCATACACATTGACATTGAAGACAATGAAAATTATTCACTTGATCGTGCAGGTTGATGTTAGAACAACTATTTCATCATCTTGTGCTCATCTCTTCATATGGAGCAGTTGCTCCAGGGACCAGGAGTGAGGCGAACTATAAAGGACGGCTCAGAGTCAAAGACCAAATACTGTTTAACTTTTATAATTTTGTATTATTACTTTGTTAAATTAAAACTAAACAGTTATATCGACTTCGTCCGGTTAGTATGGAACACAATATCGCTCGCAATCGATACGACTCGGGCGAGCAGTATCGAGCATCAGTTATCGAGCTACTAATTACAAAGCTCATAGATAACTGCTATCAGTATCAGCGCGTGGGAGAGAGTCGCCATTCTTGTACCAGTCTACAATACAAGCAGAAATACTAGACAGGAAAACTATGTACCTACTCAAATCTAAATAAGTATCTAATAAGGGATTTTGGGCTTCCACAATTAACATTCTCCCATACAAACATTCATACGATAATTTCTTACAAGAAGTAAAGTAATTGGAGCTGAGATGTATTATCCTTATGGCAAACGTAACTTGGTTCCTTGGGCGCCAGGTTAAACAGGGGCGCCGTGTGTCAACACTGTCAAGACGCGCGAGCCTATAGAGAGACGACACTGCCAAAAATAATTAGGGGGCGTTAATTAGATGCTTGTCATAAGGCACTCTAGTGGTTCCATCTGCCTCTGAATTGGTATGATGACTTTCAAAACAGTCTCTGGCTAAAACATTAACCTTGACACTGTTGGAAATTACTGTGGTAAAATGAAAAACAATGGAGATTTCAGCCGGCTTTCTATAATCACCGTTGACATTGCAAAAAATTGTTGACAAGACAATTTCTTCCTTTTTTTTCAAACAAGTTCAGGTTCTGTTTACGATCCATAAACAATCTTCCCAACAGACATATTTAGGAAATAGCGGGAACAAAAAGATATCAAGAACTTTTCCTCTGAAACATCACGAACGATGTTTTCACCAACCCGTCCTGGAGTGATCCTTCTACTTCATACTGTATAGTATGGTGTGTGGCGGCGCTCGGCGGCTGAGTTACGATGTCACCGGCAGACTGGAGTAATTACCATACAACAGGTAACTGACGCCGCGTGATCTATTGCTGTCGACTGTCGACTGTCGCTTAATTTACGTACTACGGAGCAACTCACTTCAAACTCATTACCACTTGTGGTTACGCCAGAGAAAACGCTTTGTGTCAAAAAGATTTACCCTCAGGACCTGAAGAAATAATCTATTGACCCTCCGCAATTTGTTACTCCCCTAATGACTACAATATAAAGTTCTTGGTTACTTAAATCGATTATCGTACTTCTTAGACCATCGGATATACTACATAGACAATACCGTGGACCGAGTGTTCTCATATCTCATATCATCCATCCAACTAATGGAAAGTCTTCACTTTAGTGTTGTTCCTATCATCAATCATCAATTGCTTTCGTCAGACAAGTACCAACGGATCAGACGTGCGTGGGCGACACACCGGTGCAGCGATTAGTCGTGCGATTGTTGCGAATTATGTTTCCCGTCGGAATGTCGAGCGATTTTTGTGTCGATACCAAGTGAGCAGTTGTTACAGTTGTAGCTCTTATCTAGGTATCGATGTGTCCAGCGCTGACTAATGTAGGAGCCAGTGCTGCAGTACGGTGCGTGACGAAATGTTCGACTGCAGTGTGAACTACAATATATATGATAATGTTGGGTTCTTATCTCGACAGTGCATCAGCTATTAGAGAATTGATTTGTTTGTCTCCCTCGAGACACGAGCTGCGCTGCACTGTGTTGCGCCGAGTCACTCTGTACTGTAGTGGTGAGCAAAGTAGGCAGACGGTCGGTCCTTCGTTTAAATTGAGAAACATCGCTAGCAATCATCGTGCTTTCTTTGTTTGTGTAGCAGTATAAAGTTTTCTATTTTCGATCCCTCGTGATTTTGGCCACTACTCTTGTCGCTGACGTCACTCCAAGTTGCATCATGCGACCTGTGAGGTCGCTCCAAGCCTCCTGATCTAGTTCCAGTCTAGTCTAGACTAGATCAATGCCCAGACATATAATTCATTAAAACCAGATTGGAATAGCGATTAGTTGCGATTAATTATTGAGGATCAAAATTTATGGCCGAATTTGTATGAGATATCGTAGTAGACTGACTATTATTATTTGTTTAATGCCAGGGAAGCATGAAATGACAAGCTTAATAAATTAAAATTCGAAATATTTATGTATGAACACGAAATCTGGCAATTAGTTTTCGGCAATAGTTAGGCTCGCCCAGACGTGGTAATCGTCCTTCTTCGTTAAGTAAAATAGAGCAAGTAACGATAACTTAAAGTTCCAAACGTAATTTCATGTATAAATGAGACAGTCCGTACTTAGTGGTCAGACACAGTACGACGCACCTCAATGTGGGACACCGAGGTACAAACAATGGGCTATTACTTACACCACATATGGACTTACACCATCTTGAGTAGAAACTTATTGAACTTTATTTGTTTTTTAGTGAAAATTTAAGTAAGATGTAGCTTGTAGGTAACTTTAGTTCAAGGACAAGACAATGGAATATGAATTTATGGAAAACAAAAATTTGAATTCCAACGAGACCGAATGTCTATATCGCGCTCTCTAACATCCCTCGTATGGAAGGCTGACCAAGACCGACCATACAACTAGCAATGTTAATGAGGAGCTCGACTTCATATGCAAATGTAACGCTCCAATTTTACCTTATTGATGTAAAAGTCAATAAAATTGTAATGAAGCTCGTCTAATCAGAGAACCGAACGTCGTTTAATGCTCTGTTAATAGCTTCGAATGAAGGTTTTATTACAAACTAATGTTGACTTCTATGAATGCGGCATACAACGTTGCAAACAGTGCAGTATTTCAGATACACCCAGAGCCGTATTGTACTTAAGGCAAACTAGGCAAGTGCCGGGCGCCAGGTTACAGAGGGGCGCCGCGGGACGCGCGTGTCTATAGATATAGGAATGATGAAAAATTTTATAATCGGGAAATTTAAATGTAGTACAACTTTTTGTGTCCAATTTTGATTTTGACGCAACTTCTCTCCAAAATTTCTCCAAATTATGTCCTTAGCCAAATTGACTGTCAGTTGACAAGTTATTGCTCTGGTCTGGAATGGTCAGAATGGTCGAAGTTTTATATCATACTATATCATGCGAAGTGACACAGTGCTCTATTCACACGCCACACGGCAGCACGTTACATTCGTCCATCAAATTGCTTCGAAAAACAAGCCCTGCTAAATCTGTGTCCGCTAATTAAAATATTTTCCTCGCGACATAACTTCTAATTAGACCCAATAAGGAAAGCTAACCACATTCAGTCAGCCCAGTAATTATATCGACGCGACGGCGACGTGCGCATGCGTGGACACAACCATACTCCCGGTACCACGACCGAACTGAGTAGGCAGCGGTATAAAGATCTTTGAGAGTGTTTACAGGACCTACTTTCAAATATAATGATTGACTCACTGTGTAAACTGTCACTATAACATCTAATTCTCATGTAGTCGTTTGTTTGTCATTCGCTCCTCCCATTATGTCGCGCCACACGCCCACCTTGTCCTACTGCGTCGCCTGCGACTGTGGCTCCGAGTTCCATTAGTAATCATTTATTTATTCTCGATTTCACTCACTGTCTGCCAATCAATGTTACTTTCCCACACAGACGGACATCTCTCAGGCCGTAAACTACTCCACATTGCTGATACATTAATCAATTGCACACTCACGCTAATCAAATCTTTATTATAATGCAGTAGAGGTGCATTTCGCTTGAATAGATTTAGCGAGTGTGTGCGGGTGTGTGGCAGGTCGTCTGTTTCATTAATACGTCGTCGGTAATACGCGGCGGCAATTAACGCGTTGGCGCGACATCGGCCGCTAATTCCCGGCGCGGAGCTGCGCGCGGCGCCCACGCGGTCTCCGCGCGCCGCCCGAACAATACCTTATTAATCACGCGCACAAATACACTGCGCCGTGATAATTTGTAGCGCACAATACATACACTTTGATGGAAAACGTGTTAATTCCTCGGATTGCTTTGAAAGTGAAATGTTACGGTGACTGCAATTAACAGCGAGCGACAAACAACATTAATTACAGAGTTTGACAGGTACATGTGAACACTGGACACGGCGCATGGTCTCACTGCATAGCGACACATTGTCGAAACCAAATATAAAACCATCATACATGTCATGGTCATGAGCGAGGGATATTGCCGTGGAAAAAATGTAGCAGACATTCCATAGTAAGTAGTCTGGCAACAAATCATCAATTATATTGTCATTATGCAGGAGCTACTTTAATAAATAATTGCGTTGACAATCCGCGAGCCTATCATCACAGTGCGCGTGCGCTGTGTTTAGTTAATGTCACGCTCAGGTTGACACGGCGGCAGACATGATGATGACAGGAAACGTGTTTATTTGTTTGCAATTCTGTTGATAATAATTGCTACTGCCGCGTCACTGCGGAGACACGGTCCGCGGAGCTCAGTCTAACATTGTGTACTGGACAATGTGCGGGGTTGCGCCGATTTAGCAGAGAAATTGGTTGGCTTAATGTGCAACGAATTACTGCAGTAATGAACTATAGTTCATTGTATTAACTGTATACAGTCGAGTATAATGTTCTATATACGTGGCGGATGTCATGGTTCAAACAGGTTCTACGCTTTTTATAAAGAATTTAGCGGGTCATACATTGTGACCAAATATTTCATCCATCGCTTTCGGCTTTAATGATCCACCAATCAGTTTTGTATTCCATCAGAACTACGTCATCTACTCCTCTCTAGGATTACCTTGTCCTGGGTCCCTTACATCATGTTGATGTTCCTCTACCGTATCCTGATGTTAGTGTTGCTGTGTTGCAGGCTGGCGGTGTGCGGTGGGTCGCTGGGCGCGGCGCTAGTGTGCGCGCGGGCGCCGGGACTGACGGAGCGACAGCGCGCCATGTGTCGCCAGTCACCTGCTGCTGTCGCCGCCATTGGAGACGGACTCAGGTAAGACCTTCCACATACACATATGATGAAGACAAGAAAACACTCACTAGAAGTTTCAGTACAATCAATCAATTTATTTCACCATCAAATTTTGTATCTTGTGATCTTGTTGAAGCTTTCGATACTTATGATCAATCAGATTTTGATGAATTACTGCATGTATAGCTTTCATGTTTCTAAAATTGCTCTAATATTATGCTTAAATAATATTGGGCATTAAGTGATCACGATCTACTCACGCAGTAGTTACTATAAACTACAAGAATATAATATTACCACTTTTTGTTAAAGTATGGGTCTGCCACAGGGCTCTTAATTAGGTCATGTTAATTTTTCATGTTCAATTAATTATTATTTTAAGTTTATTGATATTTTAATTGAAATTTTAGCATAATTATACAAATAATACAATATCGTTAAGAAATGTAATAAATCTAATTTACTTGGCATCAATTAAGGATATAATTTACAGTTATTCGCAGGCAGAAACAAGACCCCGCTAATAGTGAGGTAGCATCGAGATTACAGTGTTCGATAAAATTACTGACAATTTATTGGCCACTTACTCGATTAATCAGAAATTAGCCGCGATCATGTAACCTATTATCACGACGGTTATTTCCTGAAAAGGGGTAGGCAGTGGGTAGGCAGGTACCATTTATACTTTTGTTTTCACCGAATAATAAATTTGCGAGGAGCCGTAGTCGAGGGCAAGGATTTTCACGACGATAATAATAGATAGTTAATACTAATTAACGCTTGCGCTACTCAATGTAGGGAACTACACAGTCTATTTAGAGCAAAAGCTCGATCACTTGTGTGCAGCATGAAAGATATCGCGATGTAGTGCATGATGTATGTGCAGTGCAGAGGTATGTGGTTCGTATCTCGGCTGTGGCACCGTTACTATTGCAGCCGGTACTCATCAATTATCCTGCCTCCTATAGAGCTACCGGCATTGACTGGACGTGTAGATCTGGGGACGTCTGCAATCCTTGTCTATTAAGTTTACTCTTCGGTTCATGAGTGACGGACAGACAGCATATAAATGTTTATAGAAAGGTTGAAGGCTGTTTTTTTAGCACTATACAATTTTTTTATTTGTTTGGCTTTGGTCTTGATAAGCACCCTGTTTTCGCCTTTTGAAACGAGCGCCTAGCTTCACTGACAAACAGACGGACGGACAATTATTATTTTTTTAAAACGGCCTAAATAAGGGATAATTGAAATAAATGCGTTGACTTTGACTTCGCCGGTAGTCTGCGAAACTTCGTAAGTAAATCCGTGACAATCTATGTCTCATACTTATTCTAACACGTACATATTTACATTACTCATTCGTGGTGGAACTTAGCATAACAAGATGGGAATTCCATCAGTTTTTAGGTTACTGGTACATTCAATACGGACTTTGAACTCGATAAGGATGCTGCCTCTGTACTACTTCATTATATTTTGCTTCAGTATTTTAGTCTCTGTCTCTCTGATTTAAGGACTTATTTGTTTATCGAACCCGTTCACATTTATAGGGAATACCAGGATCGCATGTAATGTTAAGATGTAGTGTGTAATGAGTACAATGTCTCAATGTATTGTGTTGGGTGCAGGATGGCGTACGCGGAGTGTCGGCTGCAGCTGGCGGGGCGGCGGTGGAACTGCTCGGGCGTCGGAGACGGACATCACTTCGGACACGTCATGCCCATGGGTGAGACACCATCTCATATCTTTTAGCCTTTATACAAACTACCTTCATGCACCATACTTCATACTAGGCGTGATATTATTGTATGTTATATGTCATATTATTTTTTGCCATAAATTCTGATGCTATGACCCCATTTCACCTATACCCAGACCCGGAACATTTGTAGATCACAAAAGAATAGTATCGAATCAAACCCGTAACATCATGCAACCAAAATGCTAGGATTCTAAACTGTTGATTAGGTTCCGAAAATTGTTTTTCTATGATATTTGGATAAATAACCTGGGAGTCTTCAAGGCCCGAGTGAATAAGTTGCTTATGGGACGACGTGCTCCATCGTAGACCGCATCATCGTGCACCACCAGGCGAGATAGTGGTCAAACGTCGCCCCATCAAATATATAAAAAAAAAAAGTTGCGACGTAAACTGGACCACCCAAGCAGTTCCTAGAAATCATTACACCTAGTTAGGTTCGTGTTAACGATAACTTGCGAACTGACAATAAAGCGAGGATCGGATCTAGGACAAACCAGTTCTGTGTGTAGCGCCGGCAGTGCGAGGAGAGAACGGTGACGTCATCCATCCATATCATCTCATTTCGAGTAGTATCCTACTGACCCGAGTAAACCAGATCGCTCCGTCCAAAACATCCGTAAAAAGACACAAAGTCCACAAAAAAATCATGGCTTCTGATCCCTCACATTATGAACAAGGGTGGGGCCACTGATGTTCCCTCCGGTATTCGAAAAGTCAACTAATATAAAAATAAAAATGTATCACATCTTCTTTACAAAGATATTGTAAGGAGGATGGTTGACACTTCAGGTGATCGAAGGGCTGGCCACTACCTTGGGCAAAGGTTAAGCATTGCCATTCAAGGTGGCAATGCTGCCAGTCTTTTGGGCACCCTACCTCACGGTAGCGATGAGGAAAATTTTTTTTGATGCCTTAAACTGACACTGATTATTATTACTTTTTAAGGTGTAAATATTTTAGTTTTTAGTTATTTATATTTTAAGTTTTATATATTTATTTAATTTAAATTCTTATCAATAAAGACAAAATTAACTTAAAAAAAAACTAAAATTCAAAACAGCATTCAAGATTCAAGATTCATTTATTCATTGTAAAACACAGGTACATTATAAGTTCTTATGTAATATGTTGAGAGCAAACTTAATTAAAAAATAATCAACCTGTTTGTTTCTACTAACGGAACTGAATCGGCAAATCCGTAGTCATCCATTCACTGCCCCAATCGTATAATCCTATCAGCTGTATGTATCTGATCAGATATCGAACAATAGGTTTGTCTGAACTCACAACACAATTTATTGCTATTACTAATAATACTACTCACTACAGAATTTGTATTCAATGTACAAATAATTATACAATCATAAACAATATTTATGTTCGACATCCAACAGATCTGTGGCCACCATAGACAATAGATAAGTTTAATCTTTGACCTATCTGCACGGCTGTATCTATGCATGTCTGTGCACGCTACACTATACAACACTAATAATAAGTAAACCACTCGATTAATGATCGAGTATCGATACACGATTACATACGATTCATACTTAGTACAGAGGCCTTAGTACGAGTTTGTTTTACGTTTAAAGTAATCGTACCGAGTACGCGTTCGGCGCTCTGATTGGTTGGTTCATTGGCGCCGGCCAATCAGAGCGCCGAACGCGTACTCGTTTCGAATACTTTAAACGTAAATGAAACTCATACTAAGGCCTCAGACACCAGCACGTAAAGCTACACTAAATTACATTAATAGATTTTCAACTTTATTAATAAAACATTAAAAAATAATTACCTATATTGATTCGCTCTGTTTGATTGAACTCGATGAGCTGCCATCAGAGTAGTACACGAGTATAAAGCCGCAGGTACCAGGGCAGCAGCAACAGTTGGAGTTTATCTTAGAGGTATAATCTCAAAGTGCGACGTATTAGCTTACACTTGATGAATAGTTTCCCGCGAACACTCGTCCATTAATCACCGCATCTCATTATAAATACTAGGCTAGCTCACTGATTGCATTTTATTAGACAGATTGTATGTATATTCAATTGTGATGTGTATAATATAGGGCACAAATTAAATTATACCAGGACCAATACAGTCAGAACTTCTTGGTAGATTTCTGAAAACAGTGGCAAGTACGTAAGTACCGACTTATACTGCGGTCGAGGACTGCTGAAAAGTTGTGTATCTTTAGTTACATTTATTAGCTGCCTGCCGGGCAAGGGGTCTCGGGTTCGATTCCCGGGTCCGGCAAATTATACTGGGTTTTTAAAAAAATCTCAATAGTAGCACGGAGTCTGGAATTGTGCCCAATATATAGCAATAGGCTCTCCCCCTATTACATGGGACTCATAACATAAGTAGTGAAAAGTGGGTGTTACATTGTACAGTGGCATTAAGTGCCGTAATGTGCACCTCTGCCTACACCTTCACGGATAAAAGGCGTGATGTTATGTTATGTTATGTTACATTCATTAGTCATAACTATCGAAGTTGTTGCTCAGTATTATAATTTTAAACATTCTCTTGAACCTTCATGGATCTCGGTCCATAATTTGTACGTGGCACGAGTATTTAAATGTGCTGAAGTCAATAATTCCAATCGTTGGCACATCCCATGCTCAGAGGGTGACATCGTGCAGCGCTCCTCCCAGGTATGTGGTCCTAGTCCGCTGAAAGTCGTGAGGTAACTATGGTAAATAAATTGTTAAAATTGTTTATCTTACACTGACAAAGAACAATTATTATACAGCTTGGAATATTTTGTATCGGGTACCTGATAGACCCAGCGCCACCAATGACGTCAGTATATTGTCAGTGTAGACAATCGTGCGAACCAATGCAGAGCAGGATTAAATAGACACGTGAGCAATGAGACGTCACTACTTTTTGTCAGTAACTAATCGCAGCATTATTGTACGTAATGGTGGCCTTTGTCTGGCTCGCGTCTGGCCGCGGCTGGCGGCGGCTGGCGGCGGCTGGCGGGCGGCGGCTGGCCAGGCCATAGTCTGGCCACGTCTGGCGCATGAATATTAATGCAGTAATTGGCCGCCACCAAACAATCATATTTATATCGAACCCGCTCGCGATCGCTATCTTGAAATATTGCCGTTTAAATGTCCAAAGTTTCAAACGTGAGATAACGAGCGAATTGATTTACAACGAACTATGCTAATGAGCACAGCGCCACCGCGCGGGTTTGTCCGGGAAACTAATTGATTTTATTGCCACACAATGTGTGCCTTGTAAACGCTACTACCTAAACCTATACACTACTGGTACACACACAGACAGACGGAGCCGCCGAGGTTTATTAACAAGGATTAATTCGTCATAGCTACTCGTCGTCATAGAGATTTCAATAAGTTAATTGGATGTAATAAATTAGTTTACAACGTGAACGTATAAATATTGATAGTTGAGTTATTTACGACAGACGCACCTTCATACTGCTGTATATTAATAACATATTCAATATTAATCAAACTCAATGTTTCACTAATCAATCAGTAGACGACGTGACCGGAATATTGCGTGTTACCACCGCAAATATATCCAAGTACATAACTATCTACTGCAGATCTCGGACCATTTAGAAGGCGCCAATACTTGAAGTTTAAAGCTCGATGATCTAAATAAGTTCCCAAGAAATTACACCAAATAGACAGCGATACTACTCCAACGGGGAGGAATAATCCTGGAGACTAGAAATACAGAATAAAATCATTCGTTTTGAAGTCTAGCAGCCGAACATACACAAGAAGGAAGCACAATAAACTCAGATTAACAACAACTTTAGCCGCAGCCCTCTGCGCTCATGTTCGCAGCCACTGCACCAATTAAATGTCAATAAAACTTCAACGAAATTATTGAATGTCAAATAAAAGTGTCAATTCCCGGTCGCATACACCCACGGTGACGGGAGATTTATGCCCGACGACTAATTGAGCCACGACGCTCCACTGCATAACGAGGCGCCTTCACACCGCACGACACGACGACGTGACGACTCGGCCTGTCACAGAGTGGGACGAACTTTATTGGTCCTAAGTTGGTCGCCAATTAGGACGAGCGTAATGAGGCTGCTCGTTACGTGCGCGGCCGGCCGTGACGTGTAAAGACAAAACTCCGCTGTGGTACCGGAGTTACCAATATAACTAACTTGACTTTGATGTTATACATTCGATCTTGCAACGTCACACTTACAAGGAGTTTGACACGTATCTATTACAGCATCGCACAAATTTAAACCTATTGTTTAGCATTGCTTACAGTCCAATGAAGGAGATCACACGGCAAATGGTCAGTGGAATGCTCGACTGCATCTGAGACATTATCGTCTTCATGCATAGTATGGCCAGCACCACTCTTCATGTATCGTGAAGTATAAACGTCATTACTATCGATGACAGCTCGTGTTGTTTGTCTGGCCGTCACCGCCGCCGTCAATTAACTCCGCGAGTTTACTTTTACACACAGCTGTAATTGTAACGCACTGTACACACTCTACGATACCTGATGTGCAACACATAGGGACACTGATACTCACTGTGACTATTGTGTACCAGACTCAGACTTATTCTTCAGATAAGTATAAAGAGCATCTTGATCACACCATTCCTGATCATTTATGGATATAATAAACCTCAATCAACGTCACTCGAGCCTTAGATCTTCGCGTCCAACAACAGCGAACCATTTTGCAAATGTCTTTACTCTTTGGCTAAAGGAGGCCGATACTAAATTGTACCCATACACTGCAAAACACGATATAATGAATGAAAATGAATTCAATCAGATTAAGGAGCATCAGATACACAATGCACTGTACAGACTACACCTAGCGCATCCAATGCTTGCACTCTCCTGCGACAGGCAGACAGATTGTTACCTGTATTCAATACAATCAATACATCTCCGATGTTGATTGACGTTGCTTCTGTAGCAATATTTATTATATTAATGAGCAATATGTCAGTACTTACACCCTCACATCTGGTTCATGGCGAGCTATTTGTCAGTTATGTGCAAGTCATCTGAACTCAGCCGACGAAGACGTGAGTTATATTGGTGTATTGAAGGAAATCACATATTACATTGTGAACACTTTTCAACAGGACTTTCTCATTGGAAGAAATTAATAAATGGCAATGTAATAGATGACATTAAATTAATTCAATATTTGCGCTCAACCGGAGCTTTGTCGTGGGAAAACATAGAATCAAGATCAAAAGAACTGTATTTGTAACATGTACCGTTACTCAGCCATGGTGGACAGCGACAGGTTGTAATCAAGCAGTAATCAGACATACATTAGTAATGAACCACTGTTTACTGGCAGCTGAACGTACAATCAGTGCCAGTGGCCCCCGGCTCAGTGACCACTGGTGGAGTACTGTAATGTGCTGCTACTGACTACTGAGTACTGGTCTGATTGGCGATTACTCTTAGAGGACGGAAGTTGAGCTAATTGTTTGTTATTATTTACATCTGCAGTTGCCAGTAAGTAGTTGTAATGTTGCTGTAGCGAATTCACAGATGTCATAGAAGTCATTAGTTAGTATTAGTTCCTCTCTTGTTTATTAAATAGATTCTTATACTCCACGGAGACAGCACACTGTCAGAGTCACACGCGTGTGACGTCACAACGCATACAGCCGAGATAAGCCAACCATGAAGCGATACAGTACGACACCTGCTCCACAGATACACCACAATTTATACGTCCCCGACAATGAAGACATTAGCGTCGAACCCAAACTAACCGGTGATAATAAACATATAAACAATCGAATAGTATTGTATATGTATTGTGTGTAGAGAACGGAAATCAATCTAGAAATAAACCAGCTCCAGGCATTAGTGAGTCGATATTTCAACATCAGACGCGAGACGGAGCGATTATTTGTTTGTGTCGAAGTACGAGCAGCGAGTCTGTAACCTGTCGCGCGGGAGTTGTCTCCCACGACTCTAGGACAGCACTACAACCGCAGGACTATCTACACAATACTTAATTACTGTTTCATTTATCGCCGCTGTGGTGAACCACATGGAAAACTTTAAGACAAAATCAGCTGATTACGTCACAAGTTCTACATTGTACAAGCAAAGCGTTGGTCAGTAGTGCATTAGGCACTGTTCCCTACACCACTACCACTCGACTTACTTGAACTGCCCGGTGTGCCTAATGGTGACCAGTATGAGAGTATGAGTGAACGCTGACCAAAGGAGTTCCATCGTCTGCTTGGTATTGTAACAGTTGAGGAAAATCTTAGATTATAAATAAACACTAACTGATATAGGTAATTAAAGATGTCTAAACTCTAAACCATCAGAATCATCAACCCCGTTTGTATAACCGGGACACTGGGTCATGCTCAGTGAGTAGGTGACCGTGACAACGGATATTACCGGGATATCCGTTTTACAGTTTTATGTTCATTCTGTCTTTAAATTAACACGCTATCTGAAATATAATTATTACTTTCCTATATTTATGTTCTGATCACATCGTTGCCGTAGTCTTTGAGTACAGATCTCGCAATATTTCGACCCACCAGTTTCCCGGGCCGGGCAGCCTGCAACGCTCATACTGCGAGGTGCTTAGTATGCAGCGGCTATCAGTGCATTTGCTGCGTGTCACGGCTCAGCATAACTTAGCGGCTGACGTCTGACGTCGCCGATACCCGCGACTGACGTCTGACGTGACGTGGCGTGACGTCCCGCCCAGTGACACGCACACTGACGTTTAAACAATATTTTAACTTAAATAAAATATGGTTTTAAAAAACGGGTTTTTCAGTATCGCATCTAAAGCTCGTATCATTGATCATAATGATATTGCAATGATAATCGTCTCTTCCATAGTTCAGTAGTCCCACCTAATTTCACCATATCAATATTAAATTGTATAATTCTAAGTACTGATTGACTTGAATAGTTTCGACTCCCAATCAAACACTATTAAGCAATCATTCGGTATTGTTGCTTCAGTAATTGCTGACCTCTGATACATAGTATACATACAATAATATTTGACATACGTTCGTATTTGAAAGCATGGAGTATATAAGTTAGAAGTACCATCACACGGAAATTATACGTGTTCATTGAATTACAATAAATAAGTCAGAGTACTGTGGATACTGTAATAGCCTGCTTTATTTACAACCAATTACATTAACTTCTACACTATAGGCACATAATACATAAACTTAGAAATTCCCAGTACCGCTTCTTTAACCCTTTTGTTATAACGGCACCTCCTGTTTTAACACTAACGAAGCCTGACGGATACTTTCATCCACAGAGAGTACTCCTTGGTTCTATAATCCATGTACCGGAGTGTGGACAGTGCGTGTCGCTAATATATGCAGCGCTAACATTTGGCTCGCAGCGTCTCACCACCAGTCAGTCAGCACTCGACGCTCGACACATTTGCTCAATCATTCGATAGACAGGCGCCATTCATGCAAACTGCGTTTATAAGACAGGGCCGGACTCACATTTGGCAATTTACAAAAATATGATTAAGCACTCATTACTAATAGATTAGATAGTTGGTGATACAAATTGCGCACTCAATGGCCATGATGTACCTACATACGTACTTTACTTGGTTACTTGGTAATCTAATGAAATATTATGTTGTTACAGCTACAAAAGAGGCAGCGTTTACGTATGCGATCACGTCGGCGGGTGTGACGCATGCGCTGAGCGCGGCGTGTGCGCGGGGAGACCTGCCGGCCTGCCAGTGCACCTCCAACCGGTGAGTCCCTCAAGTTTTATATTGTGTTTCGGTGCTCGTTACTTGATCGCTACTTACTACTGCAATGCTCTGTTGCTTGTGGGACTAATTTAAAACCAGGGGCGAGTTGTCTTGTGGCACGCTCTATGTAAACTTGTGATAACATCTAGCTTGTTGTATTACCAGACGGCGTGGTACGTCAACGTCGGAGCAGTTCGAGTGGGGCGGCTGCGGCGAGGGCGCGTACGGCGCGCGACTGGCGCGGCGCTTCCTGGACGCGCGCGAGCTCGAGCGGGACGCGCGCGCTCTCATGAACCTCCACAACAACCGCGTCGGCAGGAAGGTGAGCCAGGTACACGCACACTATCAACCGCTTCGTGCCACCGCCTCCACAGTACTCTACTAGCGCTCTGCATGACTCCGCTTCGTTGCTTGCTGATATATAAGCTTGAGTAAAACTTTCAAATCTAATAAATGTTAATGTAGGAATATTAAATACATAATAATACTCCGTCATGCAGCTTCCGCGTCATTTCGTAGACATATTCATTAGCCAGCGGTAAATAACGTAATTTTACGTAATCAGTAATAATATGAAGTGGGCAGTGACTGCGGCCGGCCAGGGCCGCACTAATGACCACGTTAACTAACAAGCTGCAACCTGTCGGAATGTGAAAGTGCACGTCACTATAAACATTACGGCGCCACTCCCGCGTACCTGTGAAAAATTCAGCAGTCACCCGGCACCGCCCACTGCGTGTACTCATTAATGTCAGGAGACAGTTACTTAAGATGTTAACAGCAACGAGGATGCGAATTGTTTATTGCTGCCCTTTTACTTACTGGGAAACTTTCTGATTGCTCACTATTTATACAGATTCTTGAAATGAAGTGCCCAAGTGTATAATGAACCACAGCGCGGTCCATACAGCAACTGTTTATCTCACTGATGTTGCGAGTGAAGCGATTGCGATCGGTTCCAGATAAGTGTGCGTGCAAGATGTAGCGGAAAATAGATAACTGTCGGGTAGCAGGCAGGTTGCCTCAAAGCTCACATCATTACACGCAAACCGTCTGTTTATCTGTCCATCTAATGGTCAGCAAAAGAAGAAATCGATCAGGTTCGTGCGGCCGCCGGCGACTAGTGTGTGCCGGCCGACACTACACCCGTCATTACTGCTAGGGTATCAGTAGATAAGTCCGGCTCATGCCCAAGTGTGCCACAATTACGCATTGTACGGAATGACCGGGTGCACCGCGCAGCGCATCACCCGCGGCAGTAGCGGCCGTGCGCCTCGTCTACTGACACACGAACCTGTAATGGTAAATTATTAGATATTCTATAATATCTACAGTCAACATCAATAAGTGCACAAAATGCGTAATTTAAAAAAACATATTTCAAGTTCAACAGATACAACATTAAAAAGCACATTACAAAGATATAAGAATAAGAACATCAATAGTATAGAGTAAAATTATTCAAGAAAGCTCCCAGTAGTTGCGTGTACCCAGCCATTAAGTAAAAGTGATGTGTGGTGTCACAGACGCAGGCAGCGTGAAGTATCAAGTCAGAGTCAGGTACAATTACCTCCTGCTGTATGTTGCTGGAATGCGTTTCACTGATTGCACTCATTTGTCGGACGCGGACCAGTTAAACATAATGACATGCGTAACAATACCTCGGAGCGCAGCATTCCCACAGAACTAGTAATTGTATCGCATAAACGTGAAGGTGGACGACTGGACGACTCATTACGAGGCTCGCAATCACACGCCACCGTGCAATCATACGAGTATTACCGTGTTTACGACGCGGGTCTTGTTTCTCTTTTGGTAGTCCTCGCAGTGGGACGAGACGCGGCCAATCTGTATAATGTGCATCCTTCGCTAATGCAGCCGTTATTAAAGTAATGCATGTTCGCTTGTTCACGGTTTATGGTTATTGATTTTGTGTAAATAACTTTACTATTATCGCAGTTGTACCTATAACGTGCCATGTCATAAACGAGTGTGGGAATCTTTATGACGGCGCCTTGCTCGACCGCTTTATTATATAGATTTTCTTATTTACTGCCTATAATTAATACACACTTCTTGTAATTTGATTACTTATTTTATTATAATCCATCTTCGTTTATTTTGACCTTTACATATATTTTTGAATCAAGAAAAAAAATATCGTGAAAATGTGCAGTGAGCCACACACACACACACACACCCACTCATGTTTATTGTCACCCATAACATCTCGTTCGACACGTGTCGTATATTGTGTAATATATTGTCAGTCGTCTGCGTAAACTATCTGAAATAATGAGTGAGATATTATCAAGAAGTTTGAAGTTTGTCGTGATTGCGTCACCGCAGTGCTCCGCCGAGTGCGGCCCTGTGCGCCTGTTGTGAGGAGGCATCGCTAAATGTTAAGTAAAATGCCAAATAAATTGTTATAACAAATTATTATCGTCGAATGTTTTGAAATAGTAAAAACAAAATTACTCATTCGATTAAGTAAATTTATAAGCGAAACGGTCAGTAGAAGAGTTTACTTCTTTTTGTGAGGATTTGGCATAACTTGCAGTATGGCAAACTCAAGTGATAGTGCAGATGGCCCGTCAGCGTCGATAACCATTGGGGTACACGTGTTCTGTAGTGGAGACCGCGTCTAGGCAAACGTATTGTAGGGTACTCTTCAACTAGGTAGAGTGGCTGGATACGGAGATCTGGAGATCGAAGTCAGTGACGTAGCATGCTAATGAATAGGACTATGTCCAGTAGCGGACGAAGACGGGATGATGAGAGATTCATCGTTCTAGTATTTAAGGCTTTGATACCGTGGTCTTTGAGTTTAACATTGTATTATTGTCTGTGTTGGTGCAGATAGTGAAGGACCTGGTGCGCCGCGAGTGCAAGTGCCACGGCGTGTCGGGGTCTTGTGCGGTGCGCACGTGTTGGCGCGCGCTGCCGCAGTTCCGCGCCGCGGCGGCCGCGCTGCGCGACCGCTACGACCGCGCCAAGCTCGTCGCGCCGCACCCGCAGCGACACGCGCGGCAACAACCGCCGCATCACACGCACCTCGTGCTCGTGCGGAGGTCTGACTCTTAGTTACTTTCATTACAACGAAGTTTTAGATCACAATGTTTCAGCACATTCTGCAGTTACATTAGTACAAGATTAAAACTATTTAGTTTAACATTTGTACGGTACAGACAGAAGCAGAACCCGGGCGTGGTGCGGGTGCCGCGCAAGTCGGACCTCGTGTTCCTGGAGCCGTCGCCCTCGTACTGCGAGCGAGACGACGCGGTGGGGTCATTCGGGACACACTCGCGAGTCTGCAACAGAACCTCCAGAGGTAACTGCAGGGTTAATGTGTCTAGAATTCAATAAGCTATTGGTTCTTTCTTATCTATGGTAGTAGATATGGCCGTTTTGTATCCTTCCTCAAAATCTTTATGTCTAGAAAAACCACGGAGAGAAATATTTCGTTCTTCTTCTTTTAATGATTATTATGCGTTTTGGGATTGTAACCCACTAGCAATCATGTGATTTGATTGTTTCAGGAGGTGCAAGGTTTAGAAGTGTGTGGTATATTTGTTACCCCAAACTCGTCGTCATTGAGTGTGTGTTGCGTGTTGCAGGCGACGACGGGTGCGAGTCGCTGTGTTGCGGGCGCGGGTACAGCACGGTGCGGCGCGTGCTGGAGTCCAAGTGTCGCTGTCGGTTCCACTGGTGCTGCCGCGTCACCTGCGACACATGCGTCGCGCGCACAGAGACACACGTCTGCAACTGACTATTGACTAAGTATTTATACACGCCACGAGATTGTGAATATTTGTGATAACGACATAATAATAGATTGTAAGAATAAAATTATTGTTTTATCAAATAAGTCAGTGTGAATGAACTTGCCTTGTATTGTACAGCTGTCGATGTAAATGTATGTAAGTGCAGCAGGGCGCGGCGGCCGACGACTCTTCACGTAACATTACTCGTAACTTGTAACCACCGACACTCACTCACATTCCCGTCGCCCGCGCCACGCATTGTCTGTCGAAAATATGTCATTATGTTACTTATTGGTCGATACTTATATTTCTAGTGTCGGAACAACTGCCTAATTAGATGGTCTAACGAGCCCCAATTATTATCCCAGAAGAAAAGAAAAATGTTCACTTTCTACTTGATTTAAAGTCCCCGAAGCAGGCGCTTGAGCCAAGTGCGGCCCTGTTTATCTGTTTGATCTGTTTCAATAGAAATGGATGCAAAATGTTTGTACAACTCCACCAAGTGTCGAATGGCTTCACCCAATTGATGTTTTTTGTTATTGTGTGAAATAAACCTTATGTTGGTAAATACTACTTATACTTAACATATTCCGTCTGTCAATGAGTATCAAGTATCGACCTGTACACTAGCACCAATCTCTAACCGATTGTATACTTGTGTAGAACTCACTGTTTCCGACTAGTACCTAACTGATGTCGCTTCAATGATGCGTTGTAAATAATTTTATTAATAGTTAATAATTATGTGACATTCATTTTATTGTACAATTTAATACAAAATCCGTCTGCAACAATTGATAGAATTTTTCGAGCAATTTATGTCTTATAAATGATTTAGACACTCGCAGGGCAACGTGTGCTGCCTGCCTTATGTTAGGGTGCAACTAAATAGTTCTTTTTATAATTTTATGTAAATGCTTATTTATTAACTGATTATTATTTCTCTAAATAAAAATAAATATTGCAATATCACTTACTATGCAAAAGAATTGTTTACTATCATTGTGTTAAACTCTATGAGTTGTTGTATTGCACCGACACCATGGTGCGTGTAGTGTGGCGCGCTACGAGAGTGCTTACTTCGAATGTATTATCGATTCAATCGCTTTAACGTTAGAGACGAGACAGCGACAGTACAAGAGTGCAAGTGCTGCACAAACCGTAGATAACGTTAAGGAGATCGAATTACTGAACAACTCGCACTACACGCTCTAAAAGTCTAGAGGAAAAGTTTAACTTATTAATTGACGACAGTGCCGCGAGGCGACCACTGCCGCGCGCCGAATAAACCTCTACCACGAACTCTGTCTTGTTATTTATACTCAAACACCTGTACACTGTCTCCCATTGCCGTGTCAGAAATGTATCCAGTGATCCACCTTTACAGCGAAGCAGTCAGTTGGGCGAGCAATTTTAGAGTAGGTACCTAAATCATAACATAGATAACATAACATCACGCCTTTTATCCCCGAAGGCGTAGGCAGCGGTGTACATTATGCCACTGTACAATCAAATGTAACACCCACTTTTAACTATTTATGTTATGAGTCCCATGTAACAGGGGGTGAGCCTATTGCCATATACCGGGCACAATTCCAGACTCCGTGCTACTACTGTGAATTTTTTGAAAAACCCAGTATTACTTTGCTCTACCCGGGAATCGAACCCGACCCGGCAGTAGCACTTGTGGCCACTCGGCCAATGAGGCAGTCAAGTACCAAAATCAAAATCATTTGTTGCTACCAACAATTATTTCTGCGCTTCTCAGTCTTTCCCTTCGAGAGTAAAATAGATGGCTTTGTAGCTTTAAGAACTTGTAGTTGTACCCAGAAGTTGAGTGTATGAAGTATAGGTATTGTAATGTCAACGTTATATATTATCCAGACTTTGTCATTATTTAGTACTTAATGCTTTTATGGTTCAATAACAAATAACAACTCAAATATTACACATTGTCTTTGTTTGATCCTTCTGTGCATCACTAACTAGATATACTGATATAGGTAGTACCAGCACCGTACAACAACTTGCAAAATTCCCTCGTTAAAAGTTTGTCATGCGACCAGCGACCAGCGCGCAGCGTGAGACGTGTCACTGTATTGTTGACAACTTATAATTGAGACCTCATTATTTAGTTTATACCGGGACTTACCAATGTAGTATTGTACTGACATTTCACCACGGATTCCGTATAATCTGTGTACCTATATGTTGATCAAATGATGAGAGACTGAAATAAATTATTTTAATGAGAGCAACAAAACAGAACAATGAATTAGGTACGTACTTTGTAAGCGCTTACTCTCTGCGTGCGTAAAATGACTATGGCGATGTAAATTACTGAAGCGTGTAGCTGTGATAACACTTGGGTTCAGCTGTTTCAGCAAGTCTCGTCGCGAACATAAATCGTTGGTGTCCAGTCGCGGCAGCGCGGCGGTATGTAAACAGTGCGAACGTGCCGCTACTGGCCGCCAGATAGCGCGGCGAGCGCTCGTAATTCACTAGCACTCGCGCAGCCTGCTAATTACGGCACTTGTAGTGATTCATAACAGGCCCATAAAGCTCCACCCGGAGCTAAACAATGCTGGCTAGAGAATATAGTGTGGCCACATATTATTTATTATTATACAGGGGAGCCACTCACTCTCTCGCAGTTCACAGTGTTTGACGGTGCGGCGCAGGCGGAGCTAACTCAGACTAGACCTGTCTGTAGTTACAGACCTCGTCTGCCTCTCTGTAGTTACAGACTCTTTCTATATACAACTATCTAGGTACACGATAAGGCTGCGCAACATGTCACGGGTTCGATTCCCGCGTGAAACAGCTACATGTGGTCCACGAATTGGCAGAAAATTGCAGTCAAAAATTTAAATTCTCTAAATGACCAATTCTCGAACTAGTTTCCAAAATAACTACAAATATCTCTCGACATCGTTGAATGTCTTAACCCTACCTACTCGTTTTTGCATGCTTTTATTTACAAAATGGTCAAATAATTGTTTGTAAAATTAAAAAGAAATAATTAATAGCCATAATTGTAGCGTCTATCATCAAGTGATATTTTTCAAAATGACTAAATCTTGAAATACCTACTAAATCAAAACAAACAATGAAGAAAAAATATTAAAGAAAAAATCGATCTTTTATAGGATACACATTTCGGAGAGTGTGCGGGGAAATTGCACACACAGGCCATATTTTCATCATCGCACTAACAGAGAAACGATAAAACATCACCGTTACTATGTATGTTAGATTTCGCTTCAAGTTTTCTTGTGCTAACAGTGAAGGAATGGAAAGCTTTGCCAGAGTCTGTATTTCCTGAAGGGTTATAACCTGAGTCTCTTCAAGGCCCGAGTGAATAGGTTGCTTATGGGCTGACGTGCTCCGTCGTAGGCCGTATCGTCGCATTCCTTCAGGCGAGATAGCGGCGCAGCACGTGTACTTATAATAAAACCGTTAAGAAAACCACTTTTTGCCATCATTTTGATCTCGTCTCGACAAAATCGTAATATAATTAATGTAACTTGTATGTATAAAAATAATGAATAAAGAAAAATATGTACGTTTTGTAAAAAATATTTGCTGTCACCAACGGTAGAGACATCTAGTGACAATATTTTCAATCACTCATCCTAAAGCTACTCAGCAAAAGAGGGCGCTATTATTAAATAATTAAACAAGTACTATCGTTTCTTTCATAACTAAAAACAGGTTTCTTTATTTATTTTAGGAGAAATAAAAAAAAACTTATATAACACGGGAATAATAATCTAAAGGACAAAAGATTTTTCTATTTTTCTGAATGACATGTACGATCTTATGCGTGTAACGAAGTTGTCAGGCTGACATTGACAAATAATAGAAGTGTCAGTGTCACACGAATGTGGCGTTGAGTTGAGCGTCGCGTTGTAAATATTTTGTTTGTGTAATCTCATCCGCGCCTAATTTTCACTTCTAATAAGTTATGTCTATAAACTATATTTAGTAACTGACTATATACATATTTATCACGATGCCGAAACCAACCTGTGTTCAATGCAGCAGCAACGACTCCCTGCTGTGGCGCTCGGCCGAAAATGGACAGATTTGTAACGAGTGTCATCTTTCTAACACAGCTAGCAAAGAAGGTAAGCCTGAATCGAACATCATTCCGGACCCCGATGAGAAGAAAGACGACAGAGATGATGCAGACAGCAAGAACGGGAAAAGTGAGGGAGAAAGTACACCTGCAAAAGCCACTGGAAAGGGAACTAGAAAAAGCACACGATCAACGCGGTACAAAGCTAAGACACCCGCGCCGACGCCATCATCGAAAGGTCCCGCAGCGCGCGGCCGCGGGCGACGCAGTATATTCAAACGACAACCACTGAAAGCACCGACAGCCACTCCGACTGTGGTGACGAGCGACTCCATTTTCTACAAAGGCAACTACATGCAGGTGGGCGACATCGTGTCCATGACAGATGTGGAGGGCGGCATATACTACGCCCAGATCCGCGGCTTCATGACTGACCAGTACTGTGAGAAGAGTGCTGTGGTCACCTGGCTACTGCCCACCAAGGCCAGCCCACCTCCTGAACAATGCTTTGACCCTGCTACATACATCATTGGTAAGTGCAACTTTAATACAAACTTGTGGTGTTCTCTATGTCATCTTATTTTGTTCATCAATGGATTAAGACAAAACTTAAATGAGAAACGAAACTGTTACAGACATTGTCTGACTTAACCATGATATTAACAAGTATATCATCATTCCAGGCCCTGAGGAGGACCTGCCGCGCAAGCTAGATGTGATGGAGTTTGTGATGCACGCTCCGTCCGACTACTACAAGGCCAACACCTGCCCATACCCACTCATAGACACCGAGGTCAACAACTACAGCGGGTACATATGGACTTCACTCGAGCCCAAGGAGAGGACACAGACTAATACTAATACTGTTACCAATACTTCATAGCAGTTATCTATTGTATCACTTCTTAGTTATTAAGCACCTAGTAATTCTGTTATATCATTTTGTTTAATTCTGTAAATGTCTAAACATTAAACAAATATATTTGTAATTTTCTTTTATTTTCTTCTTCCAAATAAATTACAATTGAAGAATTAAGAATCTTAAATTAAATAAAGTGAGTATTTGTATTTGTACTTTTTTTTCCTCAAAATATTTTGTCCAAGAGCAAACTAAATGGGGTTGACATACTCATATCCATAGACATAATGTGGATAAAAACCCCTTATCATATGATGGATGTTCTAGTCTAGTTCATGAGTTCATGTTGCGGAGAACCTAATGGGTTACCGGGCTCCGGCTCGACATGCAGGAGAAGGAACGCAGTGGTTTTTAGTCAGTAAGAGTCTGACACTCCCTCCCGCCTCACCCAGGCGGCGGGAGCAGTCATACGATTATTTTCCACCCTTAAAAAAAAGTTCATGAGTTGGTACTCTAATAGCTAATTGAGATATAATAGAAATGAAAATAAACTGCAACAAAGCACGAAGATTATCTATTGCACAAGGAATATAACTGCTATATCTACGAGATTATTGCAATAAGCATTTAGTTTCACCTTTGGCAACACCGTACTCTCTTGTTTTTGTTTAGTTCGTCTGACTGACCAAAACAATAAACTTTTACCCAAAGTTATTGTAATTGGGTAATTGGACCTCCGATAACCTCACTCACACTCACACGACGAAACACAACGCAAGCGTTGTTTCACGTCGGTTTTCTGTGAGGCCGTGGTATCACTCCGGTCGAGCCGGGCCATTCGTGCCGAAGCATGGCTCTCCCACACTTTTTGTTTTTATCAATTTGACACAAGAATATAAGAAACATTCTATTTATCTTTCAAGTTTATAAACTCTGTTACAAAATAATTATATTTAACTCCGTTATGTTTTTCCTTCCTTTGGTTTGAGTTGACAAAACTTTCATGTGTCACTATCTGTCAATGTCAATATTGTCAATGTCCGACCGATTGTCTTGTCATTCGGCAATTCGGCATCGATTTGAGCTGAGTTTTGATTCGGTTTAGTTCTGTTGATAAAACAACAACGATTTTCACTCTCTAATAAAACTACTTAATCCAATAAATTATACACAATGAGTCGCAAAGAGGCATTGTCGTCGTTCATCCAACAAATCCACGGGCGACCGGTCGTCGTGAAACTAAACAGTGGCGTCGATTACAGAGGTTAGTCAGTTTGTTTATTTACTTTTTACCTTGAAGTTCTATAGTTTGTGAATTATGTTAAACCCACATTTACATATGTTATTATTTACCTGTCGCTCGCGGCAATAAGGAACTGCGAGCAATGAGGTAATCTTGAGCGCCAAATGTTTGTCAACTTACTTGTAAAGGTTATGTTCAATGTTGATGATGATTGCATTGTCTCAGCGCGGGGACTTCATCATATTTACAAATGCGTGTTCTGAATTAGGATTAGCTCTTAGCTCAATTAAAACCCTACTAACTACTGCATAGTTATAGATCATGATAACTACAACTTCCTCAGTTGTGCTGTGTAATAAAACCTCTAAACACACTAACCATGTGTATATCTATAACATAAACCTGTACAGGCCTGTACAACAAGTTACAAGATGTGTTTGTGTGTGCAGGTGTACTGGCGTGCCTCGACGGGTACATGAACATAGCACTGGAACAGACCGAGGAGTATGTCAACGGACAGCTCAAGAACAAATACGGGGATGCATTCATACGAGGGAACAATGTGCTCTACATCAGCACACAGAAGAGACGGATATAGTATGGAGTCAGTGCGGAGTATGTTGTGGGAAATAGGGTTAAGGATGTAATAAATAAATGTTTGCAATCTCTCACACTTTGTTTGTACTTACATGTTATTTATTTAAACAAAAACTAAACAGTAAATGATGTACAGTTGGTGGGCTCCAGGTCCACTCAGTGATGATTATTACACCAGGAGTACTGATTACTGCAAACATCCAGGCTGTAGCTACTCAAGTGTATTGAAATTTAACATCTCCATACATCTGAAACACAATAAATTCAGTAGTTTTAGTAAAGTGTGTGAGTGACACGTGGTTAACAGGGTAGATGCCTCATTTTTATTTCCGTGTGGTAAATTAATTCAAATAATTAGACACGTATTTTTCATTTTCTTAGAAACAAATGATTTGTAATGTCGCGTGACGTCATTTCTATGCACAATTTAAATGTAGAAATGACGTTTTAGCTCCCACTCCTAATTATTTCTCTATTATTTTATTACCTATACGACAATATAAAAAAATACGTGTCTCATTTTTTTTCACTACCTAACTGAAGGACTAATTAAATTTTTAATTTTCATACCCCGTCCTCAACCCCATATAATTTTCTTTTTGAAAATGTTAGATTCCTAGTTTCTCTCCTTGCTATTATATACCTATATATGTCGCGGGGAACCTAACGGGTAACCGGGGCTCCGGCTCGACGTGCAGGAGAAGGAACGGGGTGGTTTTTAGTCAGTAAGAGTCTGACACTCCCTCCCGCCTCACCCAGACGGGAGCAGTCATTCGATGATTTTCCCCCCTTAAAAAAATTATATACCTATATATACCTGTGTATCTCTGGGCTCATCAGAAAGCCCCTTCCCATTCCCAATATCAGCAATGAGCTTCTCTCCCCTGTACCCGTAGCGCGCTGCATACTGTTCCCTCCCCTGGCGGGCAGTGTCGGGGTCGAAGCGAGCGTCGACGCGGTAGTTGAGGAGGCGGCGGTCCACTAGCGGCGCCCAGAAACTGGACCACACCCACACACCCACACACGCGCGCACACACGCGCACACACACACACACACCAACAACACGCGACTCATGCTCTCTGCGGCCACACTCCTGCACTACTGACCAGCAACTACTGACTATGCACCAGTACACTACACACACTGCGTAGTACTCGCTCAGTACTCGAGTAGCGCAAACACTACTGTTTGATGAGCTAATGTGTTCAAGGATATTACAGACTTGTGATTTATTTACATCGACGCGACATCTTCATAGGTTCTTGTTAACATTATAAATGTACGGGCAATAAATACTACTTTGTGTGAATGTGCGAAATATTTGACTCGTACGCGGAACTATCGCAGTTCACTCAACTAAACCCACATTAACAAAATAATCCAATACATGTGTAAAGAAAACTGTAATTGTCTATTTAGAAACCTTTTATTTACATTACAATTAAATAGAAAATATTAAAAATACTTTATACAAAACTATGTGACTCCCCACCGAGCTCGTACTACAGTACAAGCATGCCATACACTGACTTATAATATATAAACCTACTACTTTAATGAACTGTATGATGTCAGTAGATGCCCTCTAGCGGCGAGTAGGACTTGTACTGGTAGAGCTCGGGTCCGCCGTACCCGTAGAGCAGCTTGCCCTTGCCGTTCTCGTCGTAGTACGGGTAGCGGTAGTTGGGCCTGCAACGTAACATAGTAATGAGATCAGACTCAGTTCTGTAGCTAGCCAGTTAGGTTAGGTTAGGTTACCTGTACAATCAAAGAGGTGATTGAATCGACATTTTCTCATTGAATTCTTACTCTGTGTTCTTTACTTAGCAGTTAGCATGTATTATGAGTTTGGCCTGTACGGCACTGAGCTCAATCTTTAGCTTTTGCTCTTCGTATTAAACAACACAACTGGATAAACACTGTGTGGTGTGGGATAGAGTTAGTTATAAGTTGTAGACATGACTAGGGCGGTAGTGGTTACCTCTCGAAGTACTGGAAGTTGGGCGCGCGTGGCTGCGGTATAGTGCCGGCCGCCGCCGCCAACATACACGCCAACACCAACATCTGTAACGTACGTAATACGTAACATGTCACTGTATAGGTAATACCGGTGTTTGTTCTCACGAAAGAATAACATTTTATTCCGTGTCTATAGAACCAGAGGCAGGTGACACAGAAACTGATTGCCTACCCTGTATTCCAGTGCCAACCGGGTAGTTAGGTATATTGTTATACTTATTAAGGTAAACGCACACTTATCCGAGCCAAAGTTACACATGCTGGAACACTTCGTATTCGAACGATTCGACGAGGGGAAGTGTACGAGGTTTTACGTTCGACTCGTTCGGTGCGGATAAGTGTGCGTCCACCTTTATGAAGTACTTAGGTACCCTACTTATCAAGTAACCTACTCTCTTGCGAGGGATCTGGATACTGAATGAGACCGATCGTTTTTTGATTATTGCACGTTCATTAAGTTCGTCAACCTTAGTAGGTAAGGTACCGAAGACCTTTATAAATCACCTGTAAGATGCACAGTAGTCGGTACCTACCTACTTATTTAGGTACTTTACTCATTATTTTAATTTCAGTCGGTGACATTGACAAAGTTTCCTAAAAGTATCGCCGTGTACAGAAAAGTGAAGTATTGATATAGGTACACACGTCGATCACTATTCATGAGATGGTCAGTGCGAAAATCATGTGCCGAACTGAAGTGTAGGGGGCAGACTGTGTACAGAATGTTGTCAACAATTAGCACTACCGTTGCCTTGAATACTAGACCTAGACTTGTCTCGACAATCGACATAAATCTAGTGTTTACTGTTGCCATCTAGCGAGCAGTAGCTATAACGTAAGGTCATCGGAGAGGAAAAGTTAGGCTGTGTCAATGACCTACGCACCGATACACTGTTATCTGTACACAGCCGACTGATTGTGTTAGATCTTCAAGATTGTTGACTAGGTCGAGTTGATCTGGTCACCCCGATTTAAACAAAAATGCTTAACAAAGGCTTAATATGTCTATTATACCCAGTGATGTTGATGCCCGATACGGAGCCGCGTAAGGCCTAACGGGTTGCTTTGTCTCAGGCTCGAAAAGCAGGAGTAGGAATGGGGTGGTTTTTCGTCAGTAAGTGTCCGACACTCCCTCTCGCCTCACCCAAGGCGGGAGAAGTCAATGGATGATGTTGCTCGCTCAAAAAAATGTGTGTTATCTTATGTATACTTAGGTATCGTCCATAGCTCATGATTAAGTATTTAGTATATTACACACCTACCTGTCTGCCTAGTTCCGTATCTTTAAGATAATGCTTTGGTTTTTTATTTTTACACAGCGCACGAGATAATCGTGGTATCAAATAATTTTGAATTTGGAACCTACGATCTAGGCCATGCACCTTGAGGCAGATTGAGCACGTTAGTATAGTTCGAGGTAGGCACAGTGTTACATTGTTACATCACTCGGGTGGTGGCGGTGGCGACCCTGCCAGTGATGTTACATGACACACACAGTTTCACAACACACATACACTTATACAACCACTGCGCTGCAACACGAATGTATTATACAGTATAATGCACGGTACCTACCATCGCTACGATGTATCTGCAGCACTGCATGTTCCCGACACACTGCACCAACACTCGATGTTCCCGCGTCGAGTTACAACGAGGTATGTACCTACACAGACACACGTGCGAGTACCTCGGCAGACAGTAGTATACTGGCGCGCTGGGGTCGGCTGGTGGAAGGGAAAGTATGACGAGAATGGCTACGTGCCAGTGACCACAGACACGGACAATCTAACACAAGTCACAAGGACCAAACCTAAGTGGTCCTTTACAGGTACGGAGCCTCCACACACTGCAGTCTATGAGTAGCAAACTGGCTAGACATTACCATTGCCTAATTGGACGGTTCTTTTTAAAGACGTTGTTGATATCATATTTTGATTGAACTTTACTCACTATCAGTCGAGTTCCTCGTCAAACAGGTACGTGACTCGGATCAAAAATAATGATTCATATAGAATGTTCACGAAAGTTAAAAACGCCCCTGTAATGTACCCGCTACAGCGCGGCGTCACAAGTGAAAGTATAAGTAAGTACCGCTAGTCAGCTTGCGACCACTCGCGGTACCATTGTATACTGTGCGTCTCAAACATTGTTCTCCGACAGTTCTCGAAGTCGACGCGACTCCGAGCCCCGACGAGAGTCGAGTCGTACTTGTTATGTAACTCCCTAATGTAACGAGTCAAGGATCATCCACTAGCATTACGCTTTCAGTTATTTGCTAATAGCAAATAATTGCTAATTAATAAATAGATTGTAAGGACGGGACTTCGATAAATCAAACAAGATGTTAATCGTTACACGTTCTGTTTATTAATCCTCCCTCCTCTCCAGAGATACAGTTTATATTCTTATGCACTAATGATTAACTACTACGTCACAAGATAGCTGACTCGCTACTCGTGTTACGATATGATGCACGTCATTCGTCTATCATTATCTGTATGAGAAACACATATTATTTAAACCCGTTCAAATTCCAGCAGCACATTGTGCAAAGTGTACATTTATTCATGTCTTGGACCAATATGTGTAAATAATCGCAAGTTCATCTGGTTGTACCCCGAAGACGAGGATCCGACTCATACAAGTTTTTCCCTACCGAATAGATCCGAGGTATCATTTACAGACAGACGTCATTGCTGTCTATCTCTCAGCAGGGTGATGTGTCACGCATTTTTTTTTATTAGCCATGGTCGTCCCAAGAGTATAAAAAGTATAGGGGGTCGTCCCACTGCAGGGCAAAGGTCTCCCGACCCTTCCACTCGTCTCTTCGTAGAGATTTTTGTGGCCAATCCTTTTGATAGGTGTCAAGATCATCACGCCTTGGAAGAAATTAATAGCAACGCCACACGTAAGCAACTTTGCTATCTACTTAATCGTATCATATTATTATACGCATTAATGTAATGATTATAATGATGCGCGTATGTGATGTAGGCAAGTAGGAGATTAGAGGGCAATAACGAGACGCCAAAGAGAATCATATTCATTTATTATCACATTTGCTGATTTAACAAAATCTGTACAAAGTTTCACTACGTACTACTACAGCTACTGACTTGTAGTCACTACGTTGTGTGTATGTATTATGTATGTGTGTGTGTATGACTAGAGTGGCTCGCTACGTCAAGCTTACAATATTATAACATCAACGACTTAACATTACGCTAGCTAACGATATCAAATGCAAATAATTAACAATAACTCCACTTTACTCGACTATACCAACATTATGTAAACTACAGCGCGACAAATATATGCGAATGCGAGGGATACATTCAGCCGCCACTACCATGTACTAGCTAGAGGAAGTATTTACAATAATATCTATATGTATACATGTGTGTGTGACACTATTCGATGTGGACACATTGTATGTGAACACTCCTAACTATAATATTGCTTCGTTATTATTATACTTAACTACAACATTCAGCGCAACTTAATGCCAAGCTACTTTTCCCGGGGAAAAGTCCAGCACTAAACATTGTCAGTACGCGGAGTACACAACCCGACACTATCACAGCGTGGTCGGTCGCTGCGGCGAGCTACTGCAGAGTTTGGCTCGCCACAGCGCTGTCCCTGCGTCAGTAGGCGACCGCGCCGGCGAGCTGCGCGCGGTGCGTGGCGAGGTCGATAGCTCGCTGCAGGAGAGGTCGCGGGCGAGTCAACATGGCGGCGGCGCGCTGGAACTTGTACTGGTTGCGGCGGATGTACGCCGCCGTGTCCACCACCATACTGTCCAACTTGGCCGAGTCGATCTCGTCCATCGCGCACTCCTGCATCAGAGGCGGGTTGAAGCGGAAGTAGCTGCCCTCCGGGAGCAAGTCGTTCAGGACCTGGTGCACGCCTGGGGAGAGGACGGGACATTACCTCATGGACTGACTAGCGAATCAATTAGGACAGAATTATCACTTTTTGGCGATACAGCACGACGCGGGGAAAATATCGCTGATGATCCTGACCCGTGAGTGGACAGCTAAAAGGGGGCAAGAACTGGAGGAGGAATAGGAGGATATTAAATATAAATTTCTTCAAACTAAATAAATGTAGCTTTTATTACAACACATCCTCAATACATGGACATGTTGCATGTACAATGTACCAGGAGCGCAGGAGGGCGCGGTGGTTACCTTCAGTGTCGGTGGCGGAGTCGAGGATCTTGTTGAACTTGTCCTTCCAGGAGGTGGGCGCGGGCGCGTCCCGCGGCGCCATGCGGCGGTAGTCGGAGCGCGCGGCCAGCGCCCGGCCCGTGCCCAGCGACACCAGCGCCCCCCCCCGCGCGCCCGCGCCGCCCCACAGCAGGCGCGCCTCGTGCAGCGCCACGCCGGCCGGGTTGTTGACCATGATGCCGCCGTCCTGGTGCAGCAGGCCGTCCAGCCGGAACTCGTCGAAGTACGTGGGCGCGGCCGCCGACGCGCGCACGGCCGCCCACAGGCGCGCGCGCGACGTGCCCGGGAACACGCTGCGGCGGCGCCAGCCCGCCTCGTAGCTGCGGAACAGGAACGGAGTCAGCCGCGACCCCGCGTTCACCACGCACGACACCACCGCCAGCTGCAACAAGCGCTCTGTACACCTCCTGCGCGGGCCTGCGCGCCTGGTACCTGGCCTGGTACCCGCCCGCATACGTACCTTGGGCGCGTTGTTCCGGTTGCACTGCGTGAGCGTGCAGTCCCCGAGGTTGTCCTGCAACATGCGCTCCCAGGCCGCCGTGTCGTAGTACGAGTGGGTCCACACCAGTCGCGCGCCGCCTCCTGCAGTATCGTATCGCTGTCAGTATGTACAGCTAGACGCTAGTACCAGATACTATGCACGCAGCTAGTACTACGCACCCAGTAGCGACGTGTTCCCGAACATCTCCCTGGACAGCGTGTAGTACATGTGGCGGGCGGTGTCGAGGCTGGCGCCGCTGCCGAGCACGGCAGCAATGATGGCGCCGGTGCTGACGCCGACGATGTAGTCGAAGAGTTCGGTGACGCGGCGGCCGGTGAGTCGCTCGAGGTGCCGTAACATCTCTATGGCGATGATGCCGCGGATGCCGCCGCCGTCCAGCGCCAGTATGTTGGGCCCCGGGCCCCGCGGCGGCCCGCAGTACCCCACCAGCGCCAGCGCCTACACACACTCACTCAGTACACACGCACACTGCTGCAGTATACGACATGTACAGTCCTCGGTACTGACCTCGTTGACGACGCCGTGTATGTCGCGCGCGAGCGGCTCCTGCGCGTCCAGGCCGTGCCGCACGCGGAGCAGCGCTCGCACCGCGCCCTCCTGCGGGGACACGGGACTATAGCACACACTCGTGTACTACACGGACACGGTACACTCACATTGTACACACGTGTGTACGGCCAGTCGACGTCAGTTGTTGTATGACGTCACTAGTTGCACTCAGTGCACTGTGTAGTGACGTCACACCACAACAACACTGCGCTCGTAACGAGACAATGTGCGTGTGTTATTTACAATTGACCCGCTACTGTAACGTACATTACTCTATAATAATAATAATAATAACATTATTTTATTTCAGTAGCCAGTGACCCGCTCGTAGCAATAAATTAAACAATCGCGACGCGGAAACGTTTCGCACGTTTCCCGCCGCGCCAATGTCACCGCAACGTGTACATACAGAAGGACAACTCTACGCAACATCGTACACGCGGATGCCAGCAATATTAGCTACATTTACGAGAGAGATAATTATATGTTGTGCTTCTGTAGTACGATTATTACGTGTCGTGCAAATTCTTTGCAAACAACATCTGTGAAGGCCACGGCGTACATACTATTTAGGTGCGTACTGTACTGTATCTAGCTACATAGGTATCTATACTACAACATGGCTGACTTGGCATCGAACTGTCGACAGCGGAGCACATCACATGCACGAGCTGGGCGCTCACTATCAGTGGTTGTCTACAATAATAACTTCAGATACTGACGTACAACATTAAACACATCGTGACATCGCACGCACAATAACATAAGTATCAGATCAAATACACTGACGTATGACGTCACTACTGCTAATACTATGAATCAGAAACACAAGTTTATATTCATTACAGTACTTATAAGATTTATAATTTTATTGTTCCTACTCAGTACTCGTGTTGTTTTCAAGTGTTTCGATGATCAGATCGAATCTAAGCAGTAGCGGGCCTGTAATACATTGCACTGTGGGTGTATGACGTACCTTGATGGCATAGTCCCTGGCCTCGGGGTAGTCGTGCAGATGTTCAACGAGTCGCTCGCAGCGAGTGAGCACGCTCTCCTTGCTCTCCGCCGCCACCACCGCGCTGATCACGTACGCCGTGCGCGAGTGGATCGACGACTGGAGACAATCACATACATCATCAATACATGACAGACCTATCGTTAGACATTGTTCACATAGTACATTAATTATTATGTTTTCGGCTTACTCAGCAATAGGCAGCAGCGACAGCAAGTAGCAGCGCGACAGTCGACGCGTCGCGTGTCGCCGTCGTGGAATGCTCATGTCATGAGTATGAGCCTCTAGCATGACTTGAAACTAGTCGAGTTCCTAGCCAAACAGTTACGTGAGTAAGTCGAAAACATAATAATTAACATGACAGACCCTTACTTCCTGGACAGAAACATTGTGTCAGGAATATCCAATTGGCCATATACCTAGGCAGTCATGGCCCAGTCTGTGCGGACCTAACGAGCTTTACTAGATGCCGAGTCAGAGATGCAGAGTTCTGAAGTTTTCGGAGACGAGCCTCGAAACTATGGCCGTCTAGACTGTTTTGGCCCATCCCGGTTCTAAATGCGGAAGTTTATTCGCATCATTGACCCAGTGCCGGCGCTGCAGTGTGTGTACTGTGTAGGTCACGTTATGTAACCTGCTCGCCTAGTTCTAGAGAGTACGAGGAACTTACATCGTGTGTACATCGCAGTGTGGCAGTACAGTACTGGCGAGCTGCCAGTACGCGACACACACTCCTACAGAGTCCTACTCATACTACCATACACTACAATCTCTATAAATACAATGCCTAATCATTTTTAGTCATTTTAAATTTTTTATCCATCACCAAAGTACGGAAACAAATACGGAAGTGAATTCTACTCCATATTCAATTAAGATTCTTAGGTACGACCTATCAAGTAGTTTTACTGACTCATAAGTATTAAAAATTTGCAAAACATTTCCTTCTAATACGTGATTATTGATATTGGCGAGATATGTGTAGCACGTCAAGGATGTTCCGACACAATGTGCGTCGTAACATTACTTGGTGACACTTTATCTCGAGCGAGTATGTGGCGGCCCCCACTGGGGGACAGTACGTAGATAGCGCTACGTACTAAAATACTGCGTACTGACACTGTTACATAATGGCTGTACAACAATATAACACTATTCAACTGTCACTGTTATTTCATTATTTATGTTTGGATCTAAAATGATTTTGTAAAATCTGCATTTGATTCAAAGTTATTTTCAAAGTAGTTCGATGAGAAATCCTGGATCTATATCCAGGGTTACCTACCTAGGTACCTACTGAGTATTCTAATAGCAATAGGAATGTAATGTAAACAAAGCTGACCTTATTGATTAATGTCAAATAGTGAACCTGAACACCTGCGACGCTGTCTGGTGTCTGGCCATCAACAACAACAACAACAACAACAACAACAACTGTCGCACGAGCTAACACATGTGCAACAACTATTGTGTACAGCTGTAACTTTGTAAACAAACTACTGCGTGGGTGCCATGTTTACTCTAACAACTGTCTCATAGTATTCCATAGTTATTAATGTTATATCAGTTCCCCATAGTCGGAGAACCAGCCGAGAACTGCGTGACGTCATCAACACATTTCTCCCAATTACTTATATCTCGCGGGTCAGACTAACTCCACGAACATGTACTTGTGTAAGTGTATACATTCAAACATTACCGCTGTGTGTGCGTTCATCATTGATTGTTTACAAGTGGTCGCCGAATATTCACTGATTGATTAGATAACAGCTGACACAATTAGATTCGCGCCATTACATACGTGATCGCAGAAGTTCCAAACTACTGTTTGTTTACTAACTTTAATAGTGTTTTATTTAGTTGAGTACTTAGCGTAAATGTGAAGCCTTTTATTTTCCAGAAGACTACTCAAAGTGTAGTAGTTATTATATAGCACGCGCCGGACTAGGTGGGCAAATTTTAAGTACATGTATAGTACTTCTAACTAATATTTTACACTGAACGATAAATTGAGATAATACCCGTAGGTAGTTGATTTTCTGTGGTATTCTATATTGTGTCGAGCAGTAATGACATGTTGGCGGCACTCATCTCTCACGTTATCAATAAACGTATTCAAAATAAAATCACCGCGATATCACTGCACTGACACCCAGCTCTCTCCGCGGACACTGGCGCGAGTCACGCGACACGCAAACAACATCGCACGCTCGGAATAATATCTTGTTGTTGTTGTTGTTGTTGTAACTCTTTACATAATATGACTCATCAACTCATCAATAACAACAACTCACATTTTAGGGGAAAGCTTAGCAACACAGTGATACTCATACAGACAACAAACAAGCAACTACTGGGTGATGGTGATGTAATGTGTAGGTACCATCAGTTAGAGGTAAGATGAACTCGTGTAAAGGAATGTCGAGTGCAATGGGAATGTAAACAAACCTATAAATAGTACAATAACATCTAAACAAAACAATAAACAATGACTTACACAATCATTGCCATACACTCAAATAATAGTTCATCATCAGTACTAGCAGTGACAGTAGTGGGACACTGCGCTCCCTGTACCGTCACCATGAACTTGTACAACTGCCCAGATATAGAGGTTTATGTATAATGGTACCTTGGAGACGGAGTGTTTCTGTTCCTTCCAGGTGGGCTCTGATATCTTGCCGAGTGTGGTATCCTTCTTGAGTCGGAGTCCTTGAAGCAAGCTCTCCATGGACAACTCCTTCATCTCAGAGCCCATGCTCGGGGCTCCAGTCTCCTTGGACTTACTCTCTGGCACTTGTCTAGTCGGAGACTTGCTTACTTCCTGTACGGAGGCTTTAGGTTCTGTGTCTTCAACTGTGGATGCTTTTACTTTATCAGTTGCAGCCGCGGCCGTCTTCTCAGCTTCAGCTGCGGGAGTCAGTCGAGCTGACACCACCTTCTCAAACTTCCGTATTAAATCTAGAATAATAGAATGGATTGTTTGAGTGTCATAAATAACCATAACCACAGGTTAACCTTCTATTTATTATTAGAGTCCTTTTGTATTTTTTACATGGTTTTAATACTGGGCCTGGTGCTAAATAATTTCTTTCTTATTAGAAAGGAAATAGCAATACTACTTCAAAATACTACTTTCTAATAAGGAACCTGGGAGCAATGTCCTGGTCTGATTGTGTACATAGCGTGTGTGAATGGGTCAGTGTGCTGGTCAACAACCTCACGTCCACTGTACACGTGATGGCGACAGAACATAATGTAACATAATATATAGTTGAATACAGTGTAGTACTCACTGTCCCACTGCTCGGGCGTGGCGGGCTTGATCTTCTGCACCAACTTCTCCACCTCGGCCTGCATGTTGGTCAGCGACAGGTAGTGGCGGATCACGCGCCACTGACCGCCCAGCGACGACATCTCGCCAGCGACAGCACTATTACTGGGGATGGGGACACTAGCACCGCACCAACACGTATGTGTACATCAGCACAATAATATGCCGCGGTCTGCCCGACTACACCAGGTCACGTCACTCTTTGTCTCAAATAAACAGTAAATGTCAACTCGATAGTTTGCACAAAGTATTCTTTATCAAAGCGTCGTGTGCTTCCACCGAGCCACTGAATGGGAATGTGCGAATTTAGCGCAAAACCTTGAGGCTGCGAGTAAAATTCGCAAAATATAAATAAATCAATGACAATTTCACAGTGACGTAGTATCGTACGATCTCCGCACAGTTCTACCAACCTAAGCAAATCAAAACAAATCTAATACGTTTCGTAACACGTACTTTGTTACACTTCAAATGTGTGCTATTTTATGTTTCATAATAAAACTATTTTTATAATGCCTATAATTATACAGCACTAAATTAATATCTTATTTTTTATTGATAATTTCATTTATGACTTCTACACGTCCGTTTTTTAATTTACACAAATTGTTTCTCAAGTTTTCACGTTTAATGGAACACCACAGTACAGTGACCATACGACACAGTTCCAATTCCAACAGGTAACAACACTTTCACTAGAGATGAGTAACGTTCCCACTTCCTGTATTATTTTTATAGTTTTGCTCAATGTCACAAAATAAGATGCAGATGTCTTTTATTCAGTAGACAGATTGTTGCAGACTTGCAGAGTAAAGTGTAGTAGCGCACTGATGTATTGTAAACAAGGCCAGTGAATTATATAGCGAGTTTAGTCAAAACATGTTTTGACATTGTTTGTATCACCGCGGGCCGCGACTGCTCTCAGCCGGTGGCTGGCAGCGTGACGGAGTTGGCGTCGCCACACCTCTCACGCGACCCGCTCACCGAGTTCGGGGACGTCGCGCGATGTGTAAACAAATATCGTATGATCGCGTTTTGTAACCGGTCCAAGTATTTCCCTATCAAAATAATGAGTGGACCGCAACGTGACAGTCACTCACCTTTTCGTATCGCTACTTACGGTTACGATATTCAGCGGATGATCTAGGTTCTATATGATCTAGGAGTCTTAGACATTCCTATTTTTATTTACCGACCTCAAAAAAAGGAGGAGGTACTATGTTCGGCTAATTGTTTTTTTTTGTTCGCGCAGTACTCCGCGATTTGTGAACCGATTTCAAAAATTCTTGTTTTGTTTGAAAGAGTATACTCCCGAGATGGTCCCATTTCCATGAGATCAGGATCTGATGATGGGATGCTAGGGAAACCGAAAGGAACTTTCGAAAATACTATGGGCGAGTAATACGTCTATTATGTTTTTCAATTAGGATTTTTAAACACTACATTTGTTAAGGGTCTGGAGCCGACAGACAGTCGAGGGAACTCCTCAGCGGTTTATATTAACTACCTTGTGTTTGGGCTTGATTAATTTGTAATTCATTACTATAACAATAAGTATATACCTACATAAGTTAAGTTGTAAGGTGTGATTACCGAGCGAGAACTATCGGTTTGAATCCCGGTGTCGGTGGGTAACTGACGACAACACCGTAGTAAATAAAACCGTCCCGACTCCTTGGGGTAGGCAGCGACTACGTAGCGCCCGACGCTACAATTTTGGCATGTAATTATTTTCGCTTTGTGGTGTGTTGATATATTTATGTAATTTCATTCAAGTGCGTAGCTGCGCTTGCGTTCCTATAGCGTTAGCACACCAGTTGGCTCCCAGCTTTGCTGTAAACCAGTAATACATATATAGGTATAAGCGTAAACAACGTTACGAATTTAAAAGTACAAAAGTATTACCAAATTTTTTACCAAAACAATATAAAGGGTAGGGAGGCCCGGCCGTGAGACGACCATGGCTAATAATACAATAAAAAGCCTGCAGGACCCTTGAGGCGGGGTGACCAGTAGTGACTTCGCGGGCTACTCACCGTTCCTTATTTTCCGGCTTGCCTTATTTGGCTGACTGGAGTGAACGAGGAACAGGTCTCCCGCACCTGGCTTGCCTTCATTGACCGTCTAGAGTGGAGTCGCGACAGCAGTCATCCTGCTCGGAGGGTAAGAAACTATTCGCAAGTCGTGAGTGGGCCAGGGCGCGGGCTTCGGATGATGCAGATTGTTGCTATATCTAGCAACCATTCCCGGGGCCCGGTCGGTGAGTTGGAGAGTCTCCGCCTGCCATTTTTACGTGTAGTAATTACATTGTTTCGGTAGGTGCCATAAGTAGTCATCCATAGTTCCCGATTTATCAGTCCACAGCAACCCATCCATATCCCTACCTTTTTTCCATTATCTACAATAGTTCTACACTAAGCAGACGCGGACTGTCCTTGGGTGTATTTCAATAGTGCATACAGATTTAGTCGCCGGATTGTGTGTCCATTACATTTAGATTAAAGTTGTATAAAGAGCCTCTGCGCAGTTGACTTAGGCCCCTCGTACGCCTCCCAAACACCGAGACCGTGTGGTCCCGTGAATAGTGAAGACATACACAATAATAATAAATAAGACAATATAAACAAAAAATCTAATCTTGTGTTGTATGTAAATGTACTAAATACTTTTCTACTTAGTTTTTTAGAAAATAAGGAGCGTGATGTTACTACGGGCACATCAATGGATATGATGGGTCCAGTAACGCCATCTATTGCCTGAGAGGTGAATTAATCTATTACTGAACAGTGGATATTTTTTCAGCATTATCCACAAATTGTTGTAACACACTTTTTTGGTTAGACACACCCAAAGCTGTGATGAACATGTGTAAAATTAGAAAGCATAATAAAATACTCGCTGAAGTTGGCACTACATATCGAGAAATACGTTTAGGTCCACGGGTCCACCTAATCGAATAATACCTACTATACTTTCTGTACTACGTATTTTACGATAGTACCTACCTATTTATTTATTTTTCGCATTGTCAACATTAACGTTGATTTTTTAACATGTTTGTTATTTTATGTACATTTACGCTACTTGTCGATAGATGGCGTTAATTGTATTTTAATATAATTATTAGCACAATAAAATAAACATACTGTCAGAGGAAAGGAAAAAAAGAAATAAGCGCCAAAACTCTACATGTGGTAAAAGTTGAAATTTAGCGAAAAAAATTAATATCTTTTGAAGTATTAATGTTAAACTGTTCTTTTAAAATGTCATCGTGGTCCTTATTTTTTGCATTGTATTTGATGAAAATACCACATTTAAAGCTTATTTTGATAGCCAAATAGTAGTCGCTTTAGAAAAAGTACTGCGTAAATTAATCCAATAATAGTCAGGGTAAAAGTCAAATATCCAGTAGGTACCTACTTAACCAAAAATTGCTACACGGTTCCAACAACCTTTTTGACAAAATAACTAAATTGCTTGGTAAGACTCGGCTTTAAAGTGAGTTAGTTTTAAATAACAGTTATGAATAAATACTTAAATATACGAATAAACTATAGTAATTCATAAACTCGAATTGCTAAAGTACCAGCATCAATCGAGATCTAAAATAGCAAAAAATACTTACGTTGTGAAATTCAAAACACTTTGCCAGTGAAAAAATACTTACTACACTGAACATACGTCGCTTTAGTAGCTACGCGGGCTGTTATTTAAGAAAAACAGGAAAAATTCTAATTTTAGTAATAAAAATTTTTCGCGCCAATAAATTAGACTGATAGACGTTAGACCTACACAGGTTCCTACCAATTTACATTAAATTGCGTATTTTATAGAATTTGATAGATTGTTAAAGGTACAAGAAAAAATCATAGCGTCAACAATACTCAACAATTAGCAAATAAATTGTACGCTTTTGTTTCAACGCTCGATAGATGGCGCTATGGTTTATATACCGGCGATAGTATAGCAGTGGCGTGCACAGGTTTTCGAGACAGGGTAGGCAACTAAATATCGTATGATTAAACCCCTCCCCCCGCCGGTCATACAATCATGCTCACACAAGATAGGTACATGTACATAATATATTTTGAAAAGTGCGTTCAAGAATATTGTGGTGTATTGTTTCGCCAAATTACATACACTGACATCTCGCGTATTTTTTGTGAAGTACTTCATCAGCTATTGAATAAGCCAACAAAACTTACAAATAAAGAAAGATCTATTATTTATTTTAATAATGAAGCATAAATTTGATGAACCAAATTTCATTATGGAATTGTTAAGGTTAATCAATCTGGTCAAAATCATTATATATTACGAATTTAAGAGCGTAGGTACCTACATTATGTCAACAAACAAAACAATAACAAGCGCGGCCGGCTGTGGCCGAGCCGGCCGAGTCTATGCGGTACATTTGTTATTACTACATTACATAAATATTAATAATAAATTAATATGTGAATCAGTACAACCCGAAGTCTAAGTTGATATTTTTAAGAATTATCAAACAATAAACAAGAAAATCAAATAAAAGATCCATTATAGTACATATTTACATTACCTACCTTTTACTTGGGTCAATTCTCGTAACTCGAGTACACCTCTGCCTATGGTCATTACCTGAATCTAGTCCGATAAAGGACATTGCGAAATCTTACTGTTTTTACTTTCAACAAACACATAAAATTACCTATTATTCACACACACTTCACAATCGAATAATATAGGTACTTGTACTAGAAACTGAGAAACAAATACACTATTTGAAAAACCTACACATATATTTAACTACTACTACACATTTATGCAACTTTATGTTTAAAACTAATTCCTAATAATTTAAACGAAAACATAAACAAAGCGATCGCACATCACATGAAAACAATATGGCCGAAAACATTGGAAATGAATTGAAGTCATTACCAATAGTCAATTGAGTGTTTATTATAAAAAAAATGTAGCTTAAAAATTAAGGTAACGCAGCGTTTAATTTCAAAAAAACAAACGTTAATTTAGTAAGTCAAATGAAATTGCATCATCGTCTTAAACCAATATTTCATACTAAAAAACATTCATTCATATAATTTGAAACGTTGTAAATGGCGCCATCTTGACGTATCAATAACTTCCTTTTAACTTTTATAATAATAAAGTCAACTCCTCGTTTAAAATTTCTATAAACCGACAACGCGTAAAAATGTTAAACTTTAATTAAAACACTTGAAAAATATTTGTTAAATACGCATTTATAAAAATACATTCGCATTATATCGAACGAGTTCAGAAGTTTCAACAAAAAATTCAATAGATGGCGCTGGTGTACTCCATTCATCAGTACTTTACGATATACATACAAATTTTATCAATTTAAATCCTTTTATGATTTAATTGTTTTTAAAAATACAATAACTTGTTGTTGTTTTATTGTATTTAGAATTCTTAATAAAATACGATCGTTTTCCAAGTGATGAACGAACGGTCCTCTAATTTTTTAGTTGCAAACATTTTGTCAATCAACAGGAATCGCGTAATATAATTATGAATGGTTATTCTGTACCGTGACTATGGTCGTGAACTTCACGCATGCGCGGTGCATACTTTTGGTACATTTCTTTTGTGACGTCACTACTGCCAACCAAGATTTAAGGAATAGTGGCGCATGCGTGGTGCGTGCGGGGCGCATTCATTACTTTACAAAGGCGCGTATTTATGTTAGCCGTTTTTTTACAAACTTTTATTATATTATTGAATTTTAATAAACGTGTTTGTACATTATATGTATGTTATATATTCACGATATTTATAGGTAGGCAATGCCTTTTCGCCTATATGGACTGCACGCCACTGTAGTATAGGTTGCGACTTGCGAGCTTCCGAAACAATGTTTGTCCGGTTAAGTAGTCAACAGCC